TGTAGGGCCTTATAAAAGATAAACAAAGGTGTAGATATGCTATAATGGATCCCTTAATACTTACCATCTTCCAAGGGTGGTACATGTATAGTGGTGCCAAAAAACCAGAAGATTGATTGCTTCTCAAAATGACAAGGTTTAGGACTTACGACTCAGCTCATTCCAGAGCATAAATGGGCATATGTTGCCTGAAGTAAAATTTAAAAGTGCATTCAAGTTACCATGATACATCTTTCAATTATTCACGACAATGCCAGGAGCAATAAAAGAGCTAAATAAAACTATAATTAACCCTTTAAACCTCATTTTAGCCAACTGTTTCAAATCTTCTCTTATGCAAACAACTTTAGCAATTTAGTAGAATTCAAATTAAAATGATTTGAATTTTTTTATATTTCTTCCTTATGAATATGGTGGTAAGAGGACACAATGAACATTATACCAATCTAGTCATATATTTTTAAAAAGTAAATATAAATAGTAAAATGCACAGAAGCAGAATACATAAATTACCACATTTTGGATTATCATTTGTTCCCCAAGTAAAAGATCTAATAGCCTCTAGTAACTGTTGGGCTTAGAGAAATTAGTAGAAACAGTCTAGAACTTAGTAAGGTGTTCAGAAAACAACTTTCTGATACTCTTTAAAAAAGAAATCTTTGATTTGAAATCTAACATATTTGAAACTGAAACTAAACTGAAGTATTGAAACAATCCTGAATAAATGCTAATGAATGTCTGTTTTTTTTTTAATGAAATAGATATCACATTAATCAATGATGACCAGCAGTAAACTCATCAAAATGCATTTCTAAAGTTAGCAGCAAACTATAATATATAAAAACCTCCAAACTGAGCTGTTTCTAAATTTGGTATGTCTTTGGCAAAAGCATGCTGTATATTCAGCCTACCTGACATTTTCCCTATTTGTTTTACCCTCTTTCCCACCTAAATAATAACATATAAGTTTACCTACTTTCTATGCAAATGGAGTCAGTGTAAAACTAATCTCAGAGGTAGCCACGGAATGAAAAAGAAGAAGGAAAAAAAAAAAAAAAAACCACAACTCCTTAAGGGAGTATAAAACTAAGGGAATGGCCTCATGACTACCTTAATACTTTAGAGGAAGAAAGGAAGTTGATTAGGTGAGATTAGGGGTAACTGGATGTAGGCAGTAAGTTTTTATTATTCTTAGCTTTCTTAAGTGAACCACACATTTATACTTGGAAATCATTTATAAATGTGTAATCACTTCTAATTTTGCTACAAGACTGGTGAGTGGCCTATTAGCTTAACTAATTTCCCATATCAGACCAGTAACTCACTAGACTCTTAGAAAATTGGGATACTTCTAAATGTCTCTGAAAGAGCCTTCATTAAAGTATCCAGTGTGTCCTGCCTCCTTGAATTTGCCGTTCCCCATTCACATAACAGGTGTGAGAAAGGATACCAAATTCTGACTCAAGGTAACAAAGTACAGACACTGAGTTTTGTTTATCATTTATGTCTTTCTGTTTACTTAAAAAATGCAGTGCTTTTTGGACCAAACACCGTGGGTCACGCCTGTAATACCAGCACTTTGGGAGGCTGAGGTGGGTGGATCATGAGGTCGGGAGATCAAGACCATCTTGGCCAACATGGTGAAAACCCATCTCTACTATACTCCAAAAAAAAAAAATTAGCTGGGCATGATGGCGTGTGCCTGCAATCTCAGCTACTCGAGAGGTTGAGGCAGGGGAATCGCTTGAACCCGGGGAGGCAGAGTTTGCAGTAAGCCATGTGGTGCTAGAGCACCACTACACTCTAGCCTGGCTGAGGGAGACTCCATCAAAAAAAAAAAAAAAAAAAAAAAAAAAAAAAAAGCAGTGCTTTTTGGATCATTCTCATCTATCATATGACATCACATCCCTTACTTTTTTGACTATTGTGAGGATATTGAATTTCCAGTGTTTAAGTTAGCCTGGAAAATATGTTTATGTCAAAACTGCTATTTCTCAAATACAATATAGCTAAGTGATTTTTAGCTATTCCAATTAATGTGAAATACAACCCTTTGTTACCAGCACTGATTATTCATATATATGGATAATTTATATACATATAGGTATAATTTATACCTACCTTATCAAAAAAATAAGTTAAACATGAGAAAATTAGGCAATATAAGATCAGGAAAATATGTTTGAACCAGAAGTGAGCTTGTTCACAAATGTTAAACTTTGGAGACTTACACAATTCTGGTTGTAATGTCATAAGAGAATAGGAAACATAATTCGTTAGAAAATTAATTGTCAGTAAGTTGAAACAGATCAGTGTTATATGAGCATGGTTTTTCAGGAAAGAAGTGGCAGTACAACTGAGTATGGTGGTCGTGGCAGTGAGGGGACATTCACTCTTTCCTATGGGGGGAATATCTGATCTTTATAAATTAGTTCTGATGTAATGGGTCCATAGATTTCCTTTAAGAAATCACTGAGCTAAAACAATAGTCCTGATGTTCCTCTTCCTTTAAAAAGAAAACTCCAAAACTGTCTAATAGAATTCTTAGTAGTGATTTTACTTGCATGGCCCATAGGTTTCTTTCCACTGAAAATGTGTAATTATCAAACCCAAAGAGTCAGAGAAACAGACTTGTACAAATCATTTATTTATGAAAGTTCTTTAGGAATTATTCCTTTTGCTTTGAGATCTATTAATACAATTGACACTAGATCTGTAGGTCAAGAAAATTTTATAAAGTGTTGAAAAATTGTTACATATTATTCTTTGGAGTCTCTACCACTAGGCTGTAAGGGCTGAAGAAACATTACATCAAATGTTGGCCAGGCATAGGCAAATGGAGAAAATACAAAGCCATTGCATTAATCTAGGAAGATTGGTATGATTTTCTGAGCTTCTATTTTCTTCTTTGGATGTGATTTAAAAGGTTCTCTCCTCAACCCCCCATAGAGAGGGAATCTGAAAACAAATTCTTTCTCCACTGGAGGAGGGGAAATTAAAAACCTCTATTATCCTACATTGTTCTTGGTTAGTTTCTGTAGTAGATGATGGAATATTGTGCTTCAATGTCATCTAATAAATCATACCTCCATATAAATTATAATAAAATAATGCCAGTGATAAGAGCAAGCATTTATGAAGCATTTGCTATGTGCAGGGTACTGGGTTAAGAATTTTACCTGCTTTATCTCACTTAATTTTGACAATCATCCAATGAAATAGGTGCTTTTATTGTATCCATTTCACTGAGGCAAAGAGAAGTTAAGCAATTTGCCCAAGGTCACAAGGCCAGTAAGGAACAGAAAAGGGAACCAGAACTAAATTTTGGTTTATCTTTAGATGATGTACAAATTTTTTAACCTCTGTGTTATATTCTGTCCTGTCTCTCATTCTTGAGTGGTAGATGAAATTTCTAGGGGCATAGGCTTGCCACTAAAAAAAAGGGAGGAAAATGCCGTGGGAACTATCTGAAGCTTATGAAAAGATGAATTTACCGTACTGATTTTGATGGGGAAGAATTTTCTTTCCTACAGTCAAGAAGTGAACCATGAGAAAGCTAGAATATTTGGCCATACCTGTGTAAGCAAGTCTTTTTAAACCTTTTGAATTGTTGAATTTGTTCATTCCTGACTAGTTTCTTTACATACAGAAGGGGCATGCATACACCAGTCAAAAATAATGATGAGATTTTTTATGGACTTTTATTCTAATTACTGCAGAATTCTCTCTTCATTGATACTATTTATGTGAAACGGTTTTCAGGGTAGGATAATGTCCTCTGAAGGGTGAATCATGTACCACTAGTATATGGATTAAACTTAAAACAAAATATGTGCGTGTGTATACATATATATATATATTTAAGATTTTATCTCCATAGTATTTGAAAATAATTAATCAGCACATTAAACCTCAGTTGTTACAAAGATTACTGCCTGGATAAAACCAGGTTGATTTTAAAAGTGAAGGAGTGAATTTAATGTCAATACTCTAAAAGGTTAAATATTACAGGTAGCACACAAATAAAGGAACAATTATGAAATCAAAGTATAAAGGCCTGAAGTTTGGCAAACACTGGAGGAGCATTAGTTCCTTTCAAACACAAGCTAACTCTCTTGCCAGGCTTAAGCTTCTCTTCTGTAGACCGTGGATAAGTAACTTGGAGAAAAATAGAAGAGGAGAAGTCAGTCAAGAATGGACTCTGTTGCCTTTTTATTTCTACCCTGATTATATTATGTGATGAAATTCTTAGTCTACATAAGTATGACTTTCAAAAAAATATATATATATTTTCATTTCTCTCATAAATAGCATTTTTCTTACTTGCAGGTAACAATGTATACCCAGTATGTGGTGTTTCCTTAGCTTTTTTCTTCCTTTAACGTTTCATTTTCCAAGCCCTTTGTCAAACATAAACTGTCATGACACAGTTTTCTTTTCCCTCAACCCTTGTAGTTTGTTTTCTCCTACAGTCAACATTGCAGAGCTGGGAAGCAGATAAGACAGTCTTGCCTGAGTCAGGCAAGATATTTTAAATAAAAAGAAACCAAGAGCAGAATTAACTAATGGCAAAGGGTCAAAGTAATTCCCCTCTTCATAATAACTGCCTTACTAATGAGAATTTTCAAGTATGAAATGTGCTGTAGAAAATGTACCACTTACTCAAGTTTTCTTTCAGATTCAAAATTACGTTAAAATTGGAATTACCATGGTTTACTAATAACAGACTTGGAATAATATTATGTTTGCCTGTTTGTCTCTATCTTTTCTTGTTGTTTCGGATCTCATATCAAATCTTTTCAGTAGTAAATTTAAGAAAATATGTACTTTTCCTAACTTCCATATTTTGTTTCATTTCTTGCATTGCCTCTTGGTGACTTTTTTTAAATTGGTAACTGCATTTTTACAAATGAGCCTAACATTCCTCTTCACATTAAAAATGCAACAAATGAAGCATGAGAAAGAATTTATATAACATGTTTTTCCCTCCTCCTTTTTAGATGGTAAGGTTGAAGTTACAAAAGAAGGTGTGAAGTTGTGTACCATGGGTCCAGGAAAAGTGTTTGGGGAGTTGGCTATTCTTTACAACTGTACCCGGACAGCGACCGTCAAGAGTAAGACTATTTTCATATATTTAAAATATGTTTAATGTCTTTTCCCTAGGCCTTTGAGATGTTGATTAAAATGCCCATTTATTTAATCTTTATAATTTTATTACGTTGTATTTTAATTTTTGCCCTGCTATATAGCTGATGTATTTGTTTTCATTCTAAAGGTGATTGTTAACAATCAGTTTTGTATAAATTACATTTTCTTGCTGATTTCTGAAAATTATCCTTTAATCAATAAATTCTCATAATTAGGATTTTTTAAATGATATAATTTTATACATTTGAATCAAATAAGAGCAAGTCTTTTTCTTTTCTCTCTTTATAGTCTCAAGATCATATTTAAGAAATTTTTACATGTCTATCTATTTTGGGTTATATTCCTCACATAAATTCCACTTGTTTACTCAGTGGTTTAGAAAAATTAAGAGGAGAAATGTCCTTCATCTCATTCAAACATCATTGAGTAAGATATCTCCTGAATTCTAAAACTGCATCTGAGTGTATTTTTGCCTTCAGCTGCTCATCAAGCTGTATATTATAGCATTTTTCTTTTCTACTGATTGAGCTTATTTTAAATCAGGGCAATAAAGCAGCTTGTTTCCCTAATTTTACATGTATGTGTATATATGATTTCTCTAGCAACTTTTGTTGCTTGGCAGAAGCAGCTGCAATAGTTAGAAGGAAAAAGATTTTTTTTTTTAATCTGCTTCCTGAGTAAGTATATAATGACTGTATAACAAACAGAGCTGAATTCAAAAGTCAACAATGTAAGGTTCATTGCATCTTTAGGCAAATGTATGTATTTCATGTTTGAAAAGTCTTTCTGATACATTTTCCTGTGGTTGATTTCAATCACAGATTACTTTGATTAGATTTTGTCATTTTAAAAAAGATGCTATTGGCAAAATGACAAGTACATTGTGAATTTCAATTAGTTTTATCTGGATCTCATTGACTACTTTTTGTATTAGTTTTTTCCTTCAGAAGTGCAGCATATAACTGACAATACAATAGTGAAATTGGATTTAAAAAAACATAAGAATGCATGGCCAGCTGGAGTCCCAGAAATTGTCTTATGCGTCTTATTAGTGAATCACCTTTTTATTCATCGGATTCACTGTAACATCAATTGTAAATGGATCCGTTTTAGGATGAGTCTTCCTTGGCATTTGATTCTTGATCTCTGAAAGCACAGGACTCTTGATTGATAGATGCTGCCATGTTTTTACTTCAAGTGATCATTCAATTACATAGCTCAAAGAATGAGACTCAGTGAACCATAATAGAATCTGCCACAACTTTTACTTACTTAAAAAGAACCTTAACTATAGAAAAGAATAGTCATGGCTCCATTAAGTGAAACTGGTTTTACAATCATGCTTCATTTTCATGAGAAATATATTCCTTTTCAGATTAAAAAAAGACCAGAATAGCATATTTTGATGATATCTCAGAATTATAAGTAGTTTTTTTTTTTGTTTTAAAGTATTTAACATTTTTATATATTTCAGGCTTGATACTTAAATCTAACTGAAACTACAAAATTTCCAAAAGCCAACAGTTGGTAATAACATGGTAGTTAATCTTATGAAATGTGGAATTTTTATTAAAGAAATATTTTAGTTTATTTACATGAATTTTACAGCAAAGATTTTTAATAAAATGATTTGTTTGCTTCATAAACATCAATTTTCTTATTAGATTTCTATATAGTGATGTTCATCTGCACAACATCTATTGTACTCTTATTTGGCAAATTTAAATAGACACTATGAATCTAATTCAACAAGAAGCAGCTAGATGTTGAATGCAAATTATAAGCCTAACTCTTTTGGGGTCAGAGCATCCATCATCAAGGGAAATGAGTAATGGGACATGTTCTTCTTTAACACAGACTCAGAGAAAGCTCAAGAATGCATCTGTGCATGTGTGCGTGTTTGTTTCTTCACAGTGCCTTCTTAAGATATAAAAGTTGTGTTGACAAAAGAGCCTAGAGTTGGTGGTGTGCAAATATATACCTGCATTTATAGGTACAGAGGTTTTGTGCATGAATCAGAAACAGTATCTGTGAGCAATTGTTTCTTCCAAATGTTTCATAAGTAGTATGAAGTATGAATAATGATTGTTTATTGTTTCAAGACTTTTTGTCATGCCACCTCTGCTATCTAGGGAGATTGTACTTGTGACTGTAGGCCTCCAGCGCCATTTTTTTTCTATATATTTTAATTAAACCTTCAGGTTGGATATGTTATGATTCTAATTAGCTCACATTGTGGATGCTACTTTTACAAAATGACTACAGAATATAACTCCCAATGCTGTCTTATTCTTTACATGTGATAAAAACATGTCGTCAAATTTATTTGGCTTTTAAGGTTCACTTATTTCTTAGTATTCAAGATTGCATCAACTTGTCCATTTTTTCCTGTCATCGTGTCATTTGTAGTATCAAATGACAGGAGTATTGACCATTTGGAGTATCATTCAAAATGGATTCATCCACTTGGGCGTACTAGTCTAATTCTGAGGGCAATATTTTTCTACACAATAGCTGACCTATCCAAGCTTCTTCTTTCTTACATGCCTTGGCTTTTGACCTCCTTAACCCTAACATCACCAACTTTCGTTCATGATTGAAAATGTTGATGATTCTTTTTCTTTTCTATTGTCCTTGATCAGCCTGAAAGTTATCTGGCATCTTAATGCGTTTTATTTTCACAGTAGTAACTAAATCCTACGTAGCATTCAATAGTTTTTCAATGTACATTACTTGTTTCCTGTTCAGGAGAGCAGTTTTTGCAAGTGTATCAGGAGTGAATAAATACATTTCAGTGACTTCACTAGCTAATGAATATGATCAGAACACCTGTGTTTTTTTTCTTCTAAGCTTACGTTATCAAGAAGTAGTTTTCTTATTAAAACTTTATATTGACATATGCTATAAAATATGATTATAAGCTTGTTCATAGTGATCCAACAGAAAGAAGCACCATGGTAGTTTGAAGCAAGCTCTTTGGTTTTCATCTGGGAAAAAAATAAATTGGCATTCTTCTGAAAATAAATAACATTTTTTTTCAGTGGTTATCACGATAGCACTAGGAGGAAGATCTGATAGCACCAGGAAGAATATTTTTTAGAAATCAAAACCACAGTGATATAGAAAGAAAAAAAATCCTGGTATGATTCACATCTATATTCATAGTCTACCTCTGCCTTATAAAATAACTATTGATTTTTCCCTGAGGAATGAAGAAATAAAAATATATAAAATTAACATTATATTGGAAACCAAAATTTAACAACAGTCTTGAGTTTGTTCATGGCTTAAATAGCCTCAAGTTTTCTTTATTAACTGTGATCTGAAAATGGCCACTTTGTATCTTTCCAGTCACAAACATTCCCAGTGGCATGGGGATGGGAAAAGAATCACTTGTTAGAGTTGGTTTCCACAGCACCAATTAATGTTTCCAGTATTGATTTTTTAAAAATGTTTTCGAAATATTTTGACATTGTCTAGTGAAAGGAGTTTTATCATCCATTTTCAACCCCACAGGGGCAAGAATGTCTCACATGTTGTTTGAATACCCCTTACTTACTCAGTCCCCACACCTGGAAGCAGATCATTATCACGTTTTCCTAAAGTGTCACTCTTGGGTGTGATTTCACTTTTACTACCCTCACAGCTACAGCAATATCAATTTGCACTTACCCTGGGCCTTGCTTCTGTGCCCAAAGTTCTTCAAAATAACAAAAATGGAGAAGTTGAAGTTACTGGAAACCTAAAAGGAAAAGGCGTTTCATTTACAATGAGAGGAATTCAGTGACATGTGTTGTACTGGGGGTATCTTTGCCTGTAAATATTAAATTGAAGCCCTGCTTCTCTTACTTTGAGTTTCAGCTCATAGTGCCTCCAGACCTTTGGTCATGTATTATTCAAATGGTCTCATTCAACTATACTCCAATGAAACCCAATAAAAAGCATTTTTCAGGGAAACATCTTGATGCCTGGTCAATATAATCACCACAGAAAGTTATCTGCAAAGAACATCTATGGTGGATGTGGTAGATATTTTATGACATTACTTGGGCAAAATATCTGACTAATTATTTCTCCTTAAATTGTTAATGACAAGTATTTAGGTTTTTTCTTTATTAAAATACTTCATTACTAATGCTAAAGAACCTAAAAAGCATACAAGAAATCTGACAAATTGATGACTTTAACAATATCGGGTAAAAAACTATTTTTCTGCCTTGGTTTGAATATTTTTAAGTTTCCATACTTAAACTTTCCTAAGTTATTAGTAAAGGAGAAGTTGACTACTTAAGATATTTTACTAAGTGTCACAGACATTTTAAAAACAAAGTTTAAAGGTCTAGAGTTTTCTGTTTATTTTTGTTTTTAAAATAAATTTGAGTCTATGTAGTGAAATAGCTTTACATTCCTTTGCAGCTGTTTTAACATTATATTATTCAAACTGTATCAGAAAAATCTGCTGACTGTCAAAAACCTAAATGATGAACAAGAATTAAATAATAGAAGATTCGACTGAATTTTTTGCTGTAAATACTTTTAGATGCTGTAAAAACAATGCCTATACCTAATACCTAGACTCTATATCTCATTCATCCACACTATGCTTTTTACTGGTAAAGGAACAAAAGATATGAATGCCAATTTTTACTGTGAATGAAAAGGAGTCGTTGATGAAGCTCTTATAATAGCTGCAAACGTGGGAAATTTCTTAAGATGCCTAAACCAAGAAGTAAGCAATCAGATACTTTTTAAGAAAATATCACTGTAGAGCACCATGAAGTATTAGATTTTTGATAAAGATACATTCACATGTGAAAATGAAACAACACTGTCCGTTAGCACAAACAATTGCTAGAATACCATTACTACTGGGTTTTCACGAGCACAAGTACCCAGGTACTGTCATGCTTGCTGTGCTACAGCAAAAGAGCCGGAGAGATAACTGGGCTGATGAGACAGTCACTGT